CTATATTTGAAAAGCAAACATATTAATATTAATCATGACTGTGATTGCAATACCTTCATATAATTAGATAATCTCTTATTTCTAAATAGTTAGGCATTACTTAAGATACAATATAGGTTTTTAGCTTTTTTTTTTATATTCTTGGATGGTATTAAGAAGTATCGAAAGATGGATCACAATTGTGAACCTTGCATTAAACTCTTCTTAACAAAAAGAAATGTATATTATACTAAGAATTATAAAGCTTGCAACTACAAATCTAAAATTGTAATAAACAATAAAACATAACAATTGCTTGTTTCTTCAAAAAAAAATGTCATATGTCATAATTTAATATTCTTTACTTCTTTAGATAAAAGTAATTTAGTTTTTATTATACATGTGTAATAGAAGGTTTTGGTATTTTTTTATTTTCAATATAAAGTACATAAAACTTTATTTTTACCTAAACTTAACTACTACGTACACCACTATTGATACATGATCGGTTATTTACACCGACAACAATATACAACACTATTAAACTATTAAAGAAAACAATAGAATGTACAGTACATAAAATAGAAATTGTTATAGGATTCGGTTAATATCAATGTGTTTTGACTATAAACTAAATACGGTTATGGCTATAAAAATTCAACCATACAGTAGTTGCATTTTTTATATTATAAATGCTTTTTTCAAAGTGGAAATTTATTTATTAAAGATAAAAGACGTTATTATATTGGCGAAGCAAAATATCAATAGGGTTTGCTATACGTGATCATAAAAGCCAAGAGCACTCCAGGCGATGAATTCTTGAGTTTGCCAAGATCAAAAGAACAGTAACGTTACGTAATTTCGGACTGCGTATATTTCCATATGTGCGATTTAATTTATTTTTGTGTACCAAATTATTAATATAAATATGAGGTACCTAGACCTTCTATTTATCGATAAAGCTGTTTACAATTCTTTTAACAGAAGAAAATGGCCTCACCAAATCTAACGACTGACATAATAAACGATATATTGGATCAACTCACAGAATATGACAAAAATTATCAAAAAAATTTAAAGGACCTTCGTTCATGCATGCTTATTAACAAGCATTGGTGTACGCACGTTATTGAACGCATCTGGTCAAAGCCATTCCATTACGTTGGTCATGCGGATAAGCGCATTATAAACACTTATCTTTCATGCCTTGAAATTTCCGAGAAGCAATCGTTAATTGAAAATATGATCGATGTAAACCAAATCTCATTTGGACTTGCAAATGCTGGATTAAATAAGGAGTCGTTATTAAAGATTAAATCCACCTTTGATTATCCTTCAATGTTAAAACATCTACATTTCCGCGATATACTCATCTCTGCGGAACTATGGTGCAATTACTACATTTCAAAGAAAAATCCCAAGAGTAATGACATCGAAAGAAATTACTTAGTAATTTTGGAATATTTGTTGAAGATGATTTCAAAGAGGTCAAAGAACCTCACTAGCATTTATTTATATCCTTGTGCCGGTTATGATTATATTAGTTTGTTGGCTGAACCAGGGATTTGTAGACTTTTTGAATCTGTGAGGAAACTAGAGTTAGTCGAAATGCAAATGTTATTGGATGGCTTGGCTAACGTTTGCAAAAATGTGGTATGTACACGAACTTTTGATTATTGTATAAAAATATTTAAAATCTACAAAAGTTAGGGTTTCATCTTAACAATACTCGGTTTACAACCTTAAAAGGAATATTTAGATATAAGCCTCTCAAAAATCTCCGATGATTCACAAGCGACAAACCTTAGCAGACTAATAAGTTCACAAACAGCTCTCTATACTTTCTGTTGTAAGTCTTCTTCCATCTACGCCAATCAAGTTATAAATTCCATTTCATCCCAATCCAAGTATCTTCGAATGGTCCAATTTCATGACGTAAATTTCACAGGGTGTTCTCCCCTTTACGGTCTTGCAAAATGTACAAAATTAGAGCTATTAACGTTTCACTGGTGTATATCGGTTAATTATGAATTAGTAAAGCCTTTGGTTGAAGTAGAGATGGACAAATTAGATGATGTGGTAATACATGGATATGTGTGTAAAGAATTAAGAGAATGGAAAGAAAAAATTGAAGATAGAGCGGTAGAGAGAAGATTGATAGCATTAAAAATAAAATAAAAATATTTTGTATTAACCATTTTGTTAAAGATACAATATTATATGAATAAAAGAATTTAATTTAATATTTTCTTTATTAAATTATTATCAAATAGTTTTTATTATTTAATTGGACAATAGGCTTATAATAAATCATATCATTTTGTTAAAAGCAAAAAATAAAATTAATATAAAGTAAGATCGAAAAAAAATTCAAAAAAACTTGGAACTTAGTTTTATTTAACATTTATATTTAAAAATATAAAAAATAATATCATTAAATAAGATTTAAAAAATAAATACATATATTAAAAACTAACAACTTTTACAAAATAACTTTGATATAATTCAAGTTGTGAAATTAGAATTGTTTTGTTTTGTTTTGTTTTTTTTTTTACTGTTAAAGTGAAACATGTATCATGATCTTTATTAATAAGATAATTATTATTATTACATAATTAATATTAAGATATGAGAACTATAAACAAAGCTAAACTATATATATATTAATCTACCACTTATTGTAGTAGATACATTTTTAGTAAAAAAATTCTTGAGCAGGAAAAAGGTTAAGAAAGGGACTATTTACATATAAAAATAAAATAAATTATAAAATTATGAAAGATTATCTTATATAAAAAAAATGTGAAGAAATGATATTTTAAAAAGTATAGTTTTTGAATGTGAAATTATTTATATATGTTAATTTGAAATTAGAATTAATCACTTTCTAAAAGCTATATATAGTTAAGAGAATTTAAAAAGAAATGTTAAAGTAATAAAATATGTGTTGAAATATAAAAGCAATTATCTTTATATTAACAATTTCTTCTGCAAGGCATAAATCAAATGTATCTACCTAAATTATTGCTTCCTTTTCAATAATTAATTAAACATAATTTCAATAGTAACAAAAGAATATAGACTTAAGCTGCCAAATTATAAAGCACAATTTCTTAATATTTGCTTTATTTTCATTTATATTAAATAGAATTAGTGTACATTTTTTTTAACAATAGTATTGCTACTCATAAATTATAATTTCATTGCTAATGATAATTGTGAAAAGTTTAATAATTAATTAAGAAATATTGTAATTGAAGAATAAGTGTGTTAAATAATTGAAACTTGTTATAATTTCTTGTTATATTGTATAGGTAGATATTAATTTAAAATTACTGAAACTTGTATAGAGCACAAATTGTGGTTTTCTAATTCAATAAGTTAATTATTAATTATTAATTATTGTTATTGTTATTGTTATTGTTATAATCAGTGTTGACAAAATTATACTTCATTGGTAATTGTCACATTCTTTTTATTATATTATTTACTATGGGATGTAATAAATAATATAATAAAAAGAGACACATGGATCCATAGCATAGTAGTAATGCTCCATAGGTCACTAGGGAAAGGTCTAGGATTCAAACCCACCTGGTTACAAAAATTTATCACCTTTATGGTTGGTTGACTGGCTTTCAATACATGTTATATCCAATCAGCTGCAAATCCCTTATCAAAACAAGCTAGGTTGTATAAAGATGGGACCTCTGGTCTTTCTGACAATCGCAAGCTGAAAACAGGTCAAAGCAGAAAAGATTGTATAAGGAAAAGTTTCTGATCTAACTCTTATACAAGTCTACTAATCCAAACTGGCACAGCAGACTCTATAACGCAAAAATAATACCCTAGTTTGGGACTATCTCAATCTGGTGCTTGCTTAAAAAAGAGTTATATCTTGAATAAATACTTGTATAACCTGAAGCCGCAGGTAGTAACAATAAGTGATTTACCTTCTCTGAAGTTCTGAGCAAAAAGTATCAGGATATCCAGTGTTCTACTAATCACTGAAAGGTAATAATTGCACCTATTCCATAACAGATGCAGTTGAAACAGGATTTAGATTAGGTTAGATAGTTGCTATCTCCCTAATAATAATAATAATTCCACTAAGATACGGATCCACCCTTATAATTCAATTGGTACATTGGATAAGTTTATAGATTTAGAAGCGAGATTAACTTAAATAGACCTAAAGTGTATATGTAATTGGATATAAATAACTCAATAAAATACATACATGCATTGAGCATCTTTACCCCCCAAAAAAATAATAAAAAGAATATAATAAAAAGAATATAAAAATTACTAATAAAACACAATTTTGCCAATACTGATTATAATGTAAAAATTTTTGCTATAAGAATTAATTATAAATAGGTTTAAACAGGTTATAAAAAATTTTCAAGTATCATTTGATATTGGTTAAATCCCAAGAAAAATAAATAGCAAAGAAGGCTTTTCAAACTTTACTATCAATCAATAGAGAAATTTTTTCATAATATATATGACTATTGTTTTATGAAAATATTTCTCAGAAATTGATTACTGAATATTAATTAATTTTGTTAAAATATGTCAAATATTAGTATATTGAATCATAAGATGAGAATTATTAAACGAAACTTATGAAAGACTAATAACAATGATTAAGTTAATTGAACAAAAATATAGTAAAGAAAAAATTATGCCAAACCTTTACATTTGTATAAATGTGCATATGATTATAGGCCATTATATGCTTTTTGGTATTTTTTATTTGAATGAATAATTTGTTAGGTAAGTTTTTTTATATTTAATATTTGTAAAATAATATTCTAACAAATTTTAAATTTAGAATCATTGCCTAATAGCCATCGAAATATTAAGCCCAAACTAATGCAAAAATTGATAAATGACCACTGAATTATTAATTTAATCACATTCTATTATAATAATATAGGGCTCAAAATCTTAAATAATCAATCAAATATTAGATCAATTTCAGAATTGGATTAATTTTCAACAGACAAACTATATCGATTTTTAAACAATACATATAATATTCAAAAGACAGTTATTAATGGATCCAAACAATTTTCTAACAAACTATTATATCCTGAAAAATTAAATTTAATTGTATCTTCCAAAATCTTGAATTTATTAGTTAAATATTATAAAACTTCTTATAAAACTATGAACTTTCAAAGGCCATTTGTTAAAGATATTAATAATAATTCAATAATTATTCAAAATAGAATTGATTAATATGAAAGATATCAAATTAAAAGTAAAATCTTTAATTCTATTATGTCATCATGAAATATAAAAGGTTCATTTGTTTTAGCCCGATTTGTGAATTATAATAGAAATGTCGATTTATACCTGGAACAGGTTCAATTTTTCTTTACTTATTCAATCAACTTATCAAATAATGTTGCAAAACACAATTTGGCTTTTATTCAATAGTTTAAACTTATTAATTTGACAAATATCAAGTTCTATTTTAGATCTGAAAATAATGCAAATGTTGAATTATAGAGTACTGAATTTTATCTGCTTAGACATGAATGTATAATTTCTATTTACAATATTTTTAGCCAATTTATTTCATTTAAATATAAGATTTCAAATCGACAAGATTCTTGTAAATATTTAGCTATTATTTTTTTAAATTGCAAATACAATATATAAAATTTCATCAAAACATATATAATTCAACAATGTAATATAATTTAGCAAAAATATATATATGGCAAGGTAATATAATTTGGCAAAGTATACATGTGGTGTAAATTATTTTGCTGTTGACTCAATTTCCAAAATCCTCAAAAATAATTGCGTCATGACTCAATT